CCCAGGTACACATAGCTAGAGCATTCAGAGATGGTCGTTCCGTTGAGCGTGAATGGGGCATCAGAAACCAATCCGTTTCTCATGAACATCGTCTTCGTTAGATTCAGCGTAGACCGATTTTTCCACACGCGCAGTCGAAATCAGCCAGCATTCGTTCCGCTTGCTCGATGTTTGGTGTTATCAAAACGATGTCGTCAGCAAAGCGGAGATGGTGTAGTTGCCGACCGTCGATCTTCACTCCCATGTCTTCCCATTCCAGTTGACGCATGACGTTCTCGAGAGAGGCGCTGAAGAGCTTGGGCGAGATGGTGTCGCCCTGTCGGACCCCTCTCTTCACATCAATGATGATCTCCTTGTAGAATGGTGAGATCTTGGTCGTGAAGTTGCTGTAGAGCTCACGAAGAATCCTGATGTACTGAGTAGGAATACCCTGGTTGCCCAGGGCTTCGATAACCGCTTCTGTCTCAACGGAGTCGAAGGCTTTCTTCAAGTCGATAAACGTGAGACATAGCGGCATCTTGTACTCTCGCGACTTCATTAGCTTACCGATCAATACAGGTCTCCCGACTGTTCCACCATGACAAGCCTACGATGTGATCGATCGTGCTGAATCCTCTTCGAAACCCTGCTTGCTCGCATGGCTGTCCTTCGTCTAGTGTTCTGCCAATCCTGTTCAGGATGACTCGTGTGAAGAGTTTGTAGACTACAGACAGCAGGCAGATTGGGCGATAATTGCCAATGTCGTACTCAGATCTCCCTTCTTGTACAGCAACACAGTCTGCTGGTTTTCCACGAGGTGGGTACCTTCGCATTCCGACAGGTTAGCGCCGAAAGATCGCAGCCCAGAGTTGTGCACAAAGAACTGTGTAAGATTCTTCAGATGTTCGGGTCTGATCCTGTCGGGTGCCGTACGATTCTTCACCGACGAGATGGCGTGTCGGACTTTTGAAGGGAGAACTGCAGGAACGACGTATCCATCCTGCTCCAAGCGGTATGGTGGCAGGTGGACGTGGCTGTCAAAGAGATCCGAGTAGAAGTCGTGGATGACCTTCTCCATTGCCCTTCTGGATGCGGTGATTGGACGTCGGAGGGCGGTCATCTTGGTCTTACAGTTGGCGAAGTCGCGGCGGGCGTTGCGTATGCTCTTCCCAGCCTCTGCGGCTTCCACCAGTACTGCTGCTCTTCTCTCCTTGAGGTCTTCCTTTATCGCTTCTCTGCATAGCTTCGCAAGCTCAGACGTCAGCTGGTAATTGCCTGCGGCTCGTGCGGCTCCACGTTGGCGAATCAGCTCGAGAGTTTCCAGAGATAGACGCTTCTTGGTAATCTTGGAACCCTCTGACTTCTTGGCGCAGTCGTGAAGATGTGCAACAAGCCGTTCGTATTCCTCGTCGATGTTGTCGATGACAGAATCCTCCCAGAGCCCAGCGAGAGAAGTGAAGTGATCCCAGTTGATGAAGGTCTTGGGGCTTCGCTTCTTGAACTTTGCGGCTCTCTCTCCTCGCATCGAAAAGCGGAATCTTGCGCGAAGGAGACGATGGTCGGATCCCGTGTAGAACTTGGGAACAACAGCGACATCGGTCAGGCAAAACCTTCGATTGAAGATGATGTGGTCGATCTCATGGAATTGTCCCACAGGAGACTCCCATGTCCAGCGTAGAGAGTAGGGCTTCTGGAACTGCGAGTTACCATGGATGGTATGGGTCGACATGATAAACTCAGACAGCCTTTCACCCTGCTCATTCCACTCCGTTCCGTGAGTTCCGATGTGAAGTTCTTCAGCCGTTCTTCTTGGTCCGATCTTAGCGTTGAAATCACCGACGATGACCTTGAAGAAGGTATGATCTTCCTTGTAGAACTTCTCCAATTCCATATAGAACGCTTCGAGCTCATCCTCGTCGTAGCTTGATGTTGGTGCGTAGGCGACGAAGATTGTCAAAGCTGGAGTTGAACCACATCTTCTCAATCGCAAACGTCCGATTCGGGTCGTCAGACTTTCGTACGAATCGATGTTCATGGCCAAGTGCGTGTTGACGAGGACGCCCACACCGCCAACGCCTCTGCTGTCGCATGTTCCGAGGAATCAGTCTTCTCCAGTCTCGTATACGACGTGCAGCGAGCGATATCTCCTCGTGTGAGCTTCCGATGCAAGCGTCCGTGCGTTGAAAGTACAGATCGTCATCCTAGTCCTGGGCGACTTAAATCTCCGTTGGCCCTGTGATTCTTGCAGCCTCGCCCGAGCGGTCCCAGCCGACGTCGCCCTGTCGGTGGTTCCCTCAGGTTCAGGGGAATGAGGCCCATTATTACTGTTTTCGGCGAGAAGAAATTTAACCACGCGTAGCTCGCCAGGCTCTGACGTGGCACCCTCCGCATTGGTACGTTTTTGGAACAGTCCAAACCGTTCACCCCCACGCCACGTTGAGGATAGGATTGTGGGGGTCGCCTCTTTTAAAGGCACAGTTCGCGACCGCAAATTGCGGGAAACGGAACTCAAATAGGCACAAAAAGTGCTAAGTATCTGATTAGCGGAGAAAAGCAGCAGAAAAAGCAGTCCGAAATGTTATAGAGAAAGATAACATAGTGGCTACTAGCTAGTAGCTAGCAGCCGGTGAGGGTCGGCATGGGCCTAAGGGGTGTTGGGCCTAATTAGTCAGCTTCTAGCGGAGTTCTTGCCGTTTTTCACATTTTGAAAGTAGCGCAGCCTCAAAAATCGCCTTCCGGATCGTCCGACACATTTGAGAGGTCATAGCCTTATTTTATCGCGGAATGTGCCTTTAAGCATCAAACTCGTAACAAGCTTACAGTTTCTGACTGGAACCATGTAGTAACTAGTGTAGGAATAAACTGTGACTTCCATACTACAACGCCGTTACCGTCTCTTTAACTCCTATTCAGCACTCACGTTGTCACAACACTTTTGACTACTGACTCTCCCGAGTAGGAGACCCTCTCCCACCCCACCTTTTCAGCGAGCCAAGTCCGTTTTATCCGTTGACGATTCCTTAACGGATGCAGGACCCTTTGGCCAAGTTGCGGCTCAAAAAGACTTTAAGAATATTGAGAGCTGGACGGTTGCTCGTGCTCGCACAGACAACGGCCGAGTGATTCAGTTCCGTCAACTGAAGGCAGTGCTCATAGGCAAGGACTACAACACCGTGTCGATTACTCACACTGACTTTACTACTTTCACTAGCATCTTTTCTGCCTTTGTTGAAAAAATAAGCTGCGGGTGTGCGGATGCTCAATGCACGGTGTGAATGGGTTGCTGACGCCGACGGAGTCCGCTCGAAACTAAAATACAACTTTTTCGTCTAGTTTCGTTTTCATTTTATTTGAATAAAACCTCTTTTGAAACAGGCTAACTAGGGAAGGTCGTCAGGTCGAAGTGGCCATTTGTAATGAGATGTAGCTCACTAGACGTGGTTTTGGACGCTGTCGAGCGCGGTTGCCAGCCAATTCGCATGAATAGCCGGGAAGCACCATTTCGTTCAACGGTGGCATGGTGTAGTGGTAATGGTCTTGCTTCGCGGGCATGCATGAAGGGTTCGGATTTCTGGAAGGGAACTTGTTTTGCATTTTGTGGGGAATGTCTCTTTTAAGTCTAGAAAACACTCAAACGCCAAATGGGTGCCATATTCGTGTTCAGGGAGCAAAACTACCCCTGAGGACAGGTTTCTAGCCAGATGTGAGGTTTTGACCTAACTTTGAAAAGTGCGGTAGTTGATCGAATGATGGTCACCAATAGTTCCAGGGCCAGTCTCTTGTCGATTGCTTGTCTTTGGACGGAATTTGCTTTTAGATACCAGGAAAACTGGAGCAGTAACAACATGAATGCGTAAGAAGTGGCAAGACGAGGCTTTGTGCAGGAGAATGTATCTGCAGCTGAATAGGTGTGAACATCAACTGAACTAACCCATGGATGCTTCACTTTTCGAAGTCAGGTCAAAATGCCAGATTTGGCTAGAAACCTCTACCTAGGCGTAGTTCGCTCCGATAAACACGAATATGGCACTCGCTCAGCGCGAAAACGCCTGCACTCCGCGCCAAGGGCACCTGTACATCCAAAAATTCTCCTAGAGGCACTAGGGCACATAAGGCACTAAGCGCGCCAGTAAGCGAACACAAACTGTTTTTCAGGCAAGTCAAGGAGAGCGCTGACGCCACAACCACTTTTTGCCACGTTTGCACAAGAAGCAAAAAAGTTAAGCTCAGCAGGGATCCGATCCCACGACCTGTTGCGTGGTAAACGCGGTGGAAAAAGCTCCATAACTCCGTTCAGAGAATCGTTCTGCAAATTTCGAAGGCAGATTCGAGATCAGCGTCCAAAACCACGTCTAGTGAGCTACATCTCATTACAAATGGCCACTTCGACCTGACGACCTTCCCTAGTAGAAGATTGTCATCTTTTTAGTTCCTTGACGCTGAACAAAATGAAGAAGAGGACGCTCTCCGGAGGAACTCCATCAGTGCAAGTGAGCTCCGAAGACTGCAGCGTAAGCAAGCTCGCAGAGGGAAGTCGAAAGTATTACCGGTTTATGACCCTTCAGGTAAGCTTTGCCTTAGTTATACTGAAGATTTGTCGAAGTGACATCATTTGTTTGTATCAATGCCTGCTGAAAGACACGATGCACGATTCGCTGTTCTGGTGATAAGGGGTATAAAGTTGACGCTAGAGGGTAGTGAATTAAAGGTTACTCTTATGTCTAGGATTTTCTTCGGAATTGCCAATGAGAACTCGTTCACAAACACTTTTATTGGTGAGCTTTCGCTGTCTTAACAGCTTCCTCAGACCTTAATATAAAATCAAGTACACAAAGTATTACAATTCCTAACAACTAAGTTGCTCGAAATACAAACCAGGTTGACCTGCCCGTCAACGGCAATTTGGTTAGAGTCTGTAATACAATGTTAACAATGTATAAAACAATGGTTAAGGTGCAACTTTGTCTAACAGGTCCCAACTACAAGGGATGTACGGCTTACCCCAGTGCAACTGCCAACGCAAATAAAAGTTACTAGAAGTGCGACGCGCGTGACATTTATCAGTACTTCGTTATCGCTCCCGCTACCCTATTAGCCTCATTGCTTCCATGAGCTCGTCCCTGTTGTTGATCTCGGGGGATAACCGCTTGATAGCGATTGCTTCGAGCAATTTTCTTTCCAATGGGGCTTCTTTCGTGCGGTGTATCACAGAAACTCTTGGAGCGGGAGCTGCTCCATTCTGGTGATGTAGAACACGGTGCCGCGAGAAACCGCTCTTTGGATAAGAAGCGGGATTGCGTAAAGCTCGCACGTGTTCATCCATCCGCTTGTGTAGTGGTCTCATGGTCTCACCCACGTATCTTTGACCGCATCCTTCGCATGTGACCAGGTAAACTGTTCCTCTTAATTGACAGATTTTACTTTCTGTACAGTAGGTACAATTCGCTCGGCCACACTTGTCTTCGTAAATCCTTGATGATGTCAGCAAGCTCCTGAGGTCAGCAGGTGGTCGGAAAATCAGCTTGACTGGAAGACGCGACGATTTGATGACGTGGTTTACTTTCTTTGCAATTCTTTCGTTGACATAGGGTAATACTAGTGGTGATTTTGACCACCGTTGACGGGCAGGTCAACCTGGTTTGTACTTCCACCAACTTACTGTTGTTAGGAATTGTAATGCTTTGTGTACTTGATTTTATATTAAGGTCTGAGGAAGCTGTTAAGACAGCGAAAGCTCACCAATAAAAGTGTTTGTGAACGAGTTCTCATTGGCAATTCCGAAGAAAATCGTATGACACATGAGGCTCAGGGATAGCTCAATTTTATCTTATGTCTAGGCTTCCAGAGCAGGCTCCTCGTTGTGCTGAAGTGTGATTAATGTTCGCACCTTTTGTTGGCTGCAGCTATTGCGCGTAAGGCTGGTCCATAGGTAATCGCAGCTGGCTGCTAGAATGGATAGGAAAGAAACCAGGTAGACAAAAGAATGTAAGAAAAAAAACCACAAAAGAGAAGATATACACACTTTCCAATGCATTTGGAGGTGCAAAATCGGCATCAGCATCGTTCCGCAAGCATGAGTCTAAGCAGATTGGAAATCTCGTCTGCAAGCTGTTACAATGTAAGGGGTGT